GGGGGGTGGGTGGAGGGCGGTGTCTGTATTGTCGACGGGTCTCCGTAAAGGTCTGTACGACCGGTTTAACGAGTTTCGAGCCACGGCGAGCCGCGCGCGCCGATTTTTCCAAAATGCCGTTTCGTCCGCGTTCGAACGCTTCAGAAATCCTTAATACCCGCGATTAACATTATTTCCTATAAATATAATATAATGTTTTGTGTATAGTAAATTAATCAATCGACTAAATAAATTATCGAAATTCGTTTTAATACCTAATTCTATATACAATAATTCGATACTAGCACATTCCGTTTGTTTACTATTATTATTTTTGTTTGTTTTTCCGTTATTGTAATTTAATTCATACACCGATGTAGGTATATTATTATTGTAATTAATACTATAACAACTTTTTTTTTTTAATATTATTATAACATAATTTGTATGATACGTGTATACTTAGATTCTAAATTGTATTATTGTATTATGATAACAACGATCGTATAGCGTAATAATAATGTTCTTTTTTTTTTGTTTTGTTTTTTTTTTTTTAAACGGCGTAAGTATAATATTATGATTGTTTTAGAAAAAGAAAAAAAAAAATGTTCTGTGATCTCTCTCTCTCTCTCTCTCTCTCTCTCTCTCTATCTCTCTATCTCTCTCTGTCTCTGTATACAATACTGCGTCGTCCGTGCGTATGCGCGTGTATAAAATAACACCGTTAACGAACATAAATCGTTAAGTATATAAATTATTATTGTTATTATTAATATTATTACTGTTGTAAAATCAACCGCGCCCCTCCCATTCTCCCCGGTCGCTGTTTGTCGGTAATGCAAATGTACAAAACACCGTTGGTTCGTGCGCCGACCGCGTTATTGTCGCGCCGTTTTAACAGTACGGCGAGAGTCCGGCGGCGTCGGTTCACCTACGACAACACGCCCGTTTCGGCCGTGCCCGGCCACCCCCCCGGAAATTCGTAATGTTTAATCGCCCGTTTATACGCGCCGTAAAGCCGCGGAAAAACGTATTCGGTTTTTTTTTTTTCCCTCGGTTTTTGCCGTAGTTCTCGCGCCGCGCGTAGTGTGTAACGACAACACCGTAATACACACACGCGCCTGCCTTTCGGCCGCGCCGACCGGATCCCCGTAAAAACGGGAAGGGCCCGCGCGTAACGTCGCCCGTCGCGTTTATTGCGAGTAGGCGGCGACGTCGTCGTCCGTCGTCGCTGCGGCGGGACCGAACCGCTCGCCATCATCCGGCAGATGCCCCCGCGAACGTTTTTAATCAATTAATCAAACAATCTCGTACGGCGTTTTGACGTTTCGGCGGATTAATGCGCTCCGCCGGAGCGAAAACCCGAGGCCTAATCGCCCGCCCCTCGACGCCTTCCCCCCCCCCCGTCACTCCCGCCGCGCGCCGTTTTCCGCGCTATCGCCGAACGCCGCCGTTCGTATTGTGCACACGTGCGTGCGCGTAAAACGTTTCAACGCGAAAACGCTCGCTGCTGATTAACACACCGCAACCGATTACACGCACCGCGCCTGCCTCTTCCTCCCGCCCACCCCCGTACGCATTGCCGCGTTGTTATCATTACTATTAATTATCATTACGTACGGTGATTTTTCAATTTCACCCGAAAACCGACGGACGCGCCACGATTCTCGTCCCGGTAACCGGCCGACGGCGACGCTCATCTCCCGATAACGTACCGCCGGCCCGCCCCTAAAACCCGACACCCGCGTCCGCGTGAAAATTATAAAACCGAAAACGAAAAAAAAGAAAAAAAACCATTCGTTTTACCCCGCGTCGGCCTTTCACGATGTTTTACCCCCCCCCCCCCCCCATTCCCGCCCCGGCCGCGTATGCCGACAATGCCGTGCGCGATACGACAGCGATACCGTTTTGCGTGGCCGGATTTCCTCCGCGCCACACCGGAACGCGCGTTGAACGCAACGCACGTTAACCGTCCGTTTTAGGAGATCGTCGTACAGGATAAACGGGAAAATTTTTCGTTGTTATTATTGTCGTAGTCGCCATCGGCCGTTCTTATTGGACTAAGCGCGAGACGTTCGTAACGCGGCGCATTGCCGACGGTGCACGCGCGCAAACGAATACACGAAACGATACGCCGCGGCCGGTTGTTTTGCAGTTTCGCGCGCATACGATCCGATCCCGCCGCACCGTCCGGGGGGTCACGCGCCGGCCGAACGAGACGTTCGACCGCGTCTCGCGCCGACGGCCGCGGTTTTTCCCCGTCGACCGGAGATTTGTTCGGATCGCGGCCCGCCGTGTCCAGTGTCGATTCCCGAGACGCGTGCCGGCGTAAACGGCGTTGGGTTTCCGGACCGTCTCGCGGACGCGCGCGACAGCGGAAATCCGGGTACCGCGGGACTCGCGACAATCGCGTGCCGTTGGTTTCGACAATCGCGCGCCCGACGCGTAAACCGTTGTCGCTGTTCGATTCGCGACCGAGCCGCGGGGATCGCCGCCCCATCACCTCCCCCTCTTCCCGAAACTAAAACGGCAAAAAACATCAACGCGCCGACGGACCGTTCTGTTACACGTTTGACAGAACGGGCCGTTCCGATATCGAAACCGACGTCGCGGACGAAAGAAAAAAAACGAAAAAAAACCGACGGTCGTGCCGAACGCGTGTTTTCTCACAGCGCGCGTTTGTGGCGATAACTCAAGAGCGCCGTTGTAGCCGTAGAACCGCAGTGGAAACACCAGCATCGTCCGAATGGTTCCGTCGGTTTTTTATTCGATCCGGTAATATCGTCGCAGTCACCACGCGCACCCGGATATTCATTATCCGCGCCGGCAGAAATTTCCCCGCGACGCGGTTGCGAGTGCCGCATTTCAGATCAGTCCGAGACGCGTTATGGACAACGGAGTCGGCTCGAAGGCCCACTCCGGAACGGCATAGTGAATTTTCGAAACGGTCGACTAACCGATCGGGCGTGTTGTAATAAAAAAAAATATCACCATTTTTTGAATTTTTCCCCTACCCACAAAACGATAGGCGACGCAACGCAACGACGGTGTTCTAAATGTTATTTTTCCATTTTGTCTCGCGGGAAAACGATAATATAGTTTTATAGTAATGTACTATATTATACTACTAGAGTACCCGTAGGTAACACATTAGATACGATTTTAAACGATCTTAAATTATTATTTAGATACGTTTAACAATATTGAATAATATTATAATATACCTATAATAATATAGATAAAATACAATTTATATGTTAAAAATTGAATTTTATTTCCTCTTTAGTTTTGTTTTTTTTTGTTTTTATACAACATAAATATATTTATATGATAATATGTATACATATTTATATATACTAGCCTGACATTGTATTGTATACAATTTATTTAAAAAAAAAAAAAAAAAAAAAAAAAAAAAAAATTTT